TCATGGAGCCTTGTGCATCGTGGGCCCACTGGGATTCTGTGCTTATGGGGCATGGAGAATTCAGGATGAAATGGGGCAGCGGGAGTGGCAGGCAGGCATATTGCTCACACACCTCTCCTTATGTATGTGCTCCATGGCCTCAGAGACTTACAGAACACAAGTTCAAAGATAAAATCAGTAAGAATTTCTCAATGGTGACCACAGAGCATTAAACTAAATGTGAGACCCTCCTGAATGTTGGACACTGGACAGGTGTAGAGACCTCACACCCATGAGTGGCCCTCCCTGCCAGGGCGGTGGCGTAGAAGAGCTAACTTGGAGAGAGACTGTGACGGCCAGGCATGGTCCAGACGCTCTGTTTGCTTGACTTCATTGAACCCTCTTGACTACCCCATACAGCAGGTAAGTTATTTGTATTTTTCAGGTACAAAATGTGAGTCACTGGCAGGTTCAGTGACTTGCCTAGGGTCACAGAAGTTGCCACTGGCAGAGCCGAGATGCAGGCACAAGCAGTCTGGCCCTGGAGTCCAGGCCACTGCCCACCAGGCTGCTCAGAATAAATCCAGGAAAGACCTGGGGGAATCACACCTGGCTTTTTTCCCTGTGTCTGTGTTCAGGTCTCTGTATCAGGACTGGGAGAGGGTGTGGTCTACCCTTCAAGTGGGAACCATAACTTCACTTCTTTAAAGTGTTACCTTGGCTCAAGCCCAGATTAAGGGACTTTGTGACATTTCAAAGATGATGCAGGGGATGAAGTTCGCAGTGGGGTGCGCTTGGAGTCCACTGGGTCCAAATAAGTTGGGACAGGGCAACTGAAGATTTGGCGAAGCCCAACCTCCCAGCTGTTGTTAGACTTGGACAAGGGGGAGTTTCGCACAGGACCAGCCAGTGAAGCCCTGGCTTGGTTTTCCTCGTCCTTTAGTAAACGGTGCAGATGTGCGTGTGCACACACACTTAAACATGCTGGGGACCCTGCTCTGCCTCCAGGCCACATTCTTAGAAACCGCTTCCCTTCACCTCCCCCCTCATCTCCTCTTTCTCAGTGTGACTCAGACATGTTCCCCACCCACCGCATGGAAAGGCGTTTCCCAGCAGGTTCACTGGGTCAAAGGAAAAGCCCTTTGCATCCGGAACACGTCCTGCAGACGTCAGCAGGGAGGAAGGGCAGCCAGGAGGAGGGAAGGGAGTACTCCCTTGTGCTGCTGGTGTCAGTAGGAGAGGGCAGGGAGGGCAGGGGTCATGGAGGGGAATGGAGTGTACGGAGCAGAGAAGCACATGATCAGATAAGCACTTGGCACAGTGTCCCCGGAAGGTGGACGGAGCCTTGCCGTGCTTTGACATCAGCCCTAAATGGTTTGTCATCACGCAACAGCCTAGTCCTGTTCAGTCATATTTATGACAGCTTTATAACAAAGTCAGTTACCTCCGCCCCAAAGTAGCGTGCTTTCTGGTTAGCCATCCGCACAGGGTTATGTCAGATGGGAGCCCTGCCCTCCCTCTTCGCATGCAGGTTATGGGGCAGAAACCCCCAGTCCCACCAGCCATGAACACTTCTGTATCTGGTGCATTTTGAGGTTTTTTTTTTTCCTTTAAAAGAATTCTTTTTAATTTATTTACTTAAAATTTTTAAAAAAATTTTTTGGGGGAGGTAATTAGATTTTTTAATTAATTAATTTTATTTATATGGAGGGACTGGGGCTTGAACCCAGCATCCTGTGCATGCTAAGCACACCCTCTACCACGGAGCTGCACCCTACCCCCTTGAGGTTTTTTTCTATTAACATTCCTGCAGACACAAACTTAAATGTCCCATCATTTAGGAATTAAAAAGAAAAAGTATAATCATCCCTCAGTATCCGTGGGGGATTGGTTCCAGGCCCCCAGTGGACACCACACTCCGAGCTCCTGTCCCGTCTAGAAAATGGTGTAGGCACCCAGGGCCCTCCAAATATGCAGGTTCTACATCCCCTGAATCTGGGGATGGGGATGGGGAACACGCTATAGAGAGGACCAGCTGTACAATATAGCTGGACTCCTATAGGTTGAGTGCTGGGACTTGGAGATAGGACGTCAGTAAAGGGAAGTTACGGCTTAAAGTGATGTTTTCCCCATTCTGATAGCAGCCATTGCGGCGTCTTTGTACTGCTCATTTTTCATTTTCCCAGAATGCGGAAGGCTTTCTCTGCTTTTTTCCATCTTTGCTTGTATGATGCCTTGAAGGGAATCTTACTGAACAGCAACAGCAGGGGGCAGAGCTCTTTCCTCTCCTGTTTCCTTTTTTGGGTTGTAATGCTCTTTCTTTTTGGGCATATTGTTTGGAGACCATCAGACATGTATTTGATGCAGGACACAAATGTCATATGGTGGTGTTCATGTCACATGGTTGACAAAGGAAGTTGAGGGAAAGGATCCCAGCAGATGGGTTGAGGTTATGTTTTATACCGTACACGCTGCATCCCTGACAGCCCAGAGCAACAACAGCCACTTTGTCAGTGGAAAAGACGCAAGGTTTTCTGTTGTCTCAAGTGAGAATTCCCTAAATGTCTATTTTAGGGACCTTACCCACTCTGCAGGGGATTTGCTTTTTCTTGGTTCTCTTTTTCTCTTCTCAAAAATGCTGCTGGTTCCGGGGCTTAGGGACCATAGTTGTTGCTCCCTTTCACCATAAAGGTCAGGATCCTTTGTTACAAAGGAGGTTTTGTGGCTCAAAGTTGGGCAGATGTGATCTCTGCTAAAGAACTCCCCAGTTATCATGTTTGCCCAGTTTGAGTGAGAAAAGGGGGCTCATGGGTGTGAAAGTATATGAAACCACACAATTATGGTCTCTTGCCTTTCTTTTTATAACCCGCAAAAGAGACCCCAAAATGTCCTTGAAGGGAAGTTCAAATGGAAAGAAAAAAAAACCCAATTTATTC